TTGCCTTTCAATAATTACCTTCAATGTCAGTGGATTATATTCAACCTGAAAAATGCAGGTTGACTGACTGGATTTCAAAGGGAGCCAACTATATGCTGTTTGTGAGACCCGTTTTACTTATGAGATCACAGAAAACCTAAGAATGAAGGGGCAAGAACAGATATTCCATGCAAATGGAACCAAGAGAGCACAGGGACAGCTATACTTAGACAAATAAGCCGTAAGGCAAAAGTGAGCAGAGAAAAGAAGGCAATAGCACAATGAAAGAAGAGCAAATCACCGAGAAGGGTTGTGTTAACTTTTCTGGGGAGACATGAACAAACATTTCACTCTGGAAAGGGAACCATTGACAAACCAAAGCAGGAATTCCGTCAGGACCTGGGGAAACCAATTGGTTTCTTGTGTTTAGTGAAGAGCATGGGTGAAAGATTACTTACTGGAAATGGCAGATCCCAAAAAGCTGCATTACCACAGGCACACTGTTTTGGGTGATGACCCACGGAAGCTGCATCACAGAGTCCTTCTACTTCCTTCACAGTGGCGCACTTCCGGAGATCACTTGCAACTGGGAGGAAGCAGAGGAGAAAGGGCTAGAGCACAAGTTGGGGTACTGTGGTCCTCCCCTCCTCCCTCTGTCAAGGAGTATTGATTGGCGGTTCCACTAACTGTCATTATTATAGGCCTAGCTATATTTCTACTCTCTTATTTCATTGCCATGGCTTACTGACCAAGTTAACCTGCACTCCAAAATGACCCTGTGATTATCATGTACCCTAGAGGCAAGGGCATATTATATATAAGACAGGAAGATATGCAAATTATACTTCTATAATAGCAAATCAATAGGCCTGAGAAGAGAGATGGGCTCAATAGAAGAATGGAAGGAGACTTCAATTTCCCACCTTTGGTCATACAAGGCAGAAAAGAATCATGGAAATTTTAGATTTCTATTACACTTCAGACTAAACGAACTTAAGAGGCATACACAGAGCATTCTATTTAACAGCAATAGGACACATGTTCTGTTGCATGTCTGCACAGCTGCATGCTACCACAAACTAGTCCCAATCATCCTCAAACTTGTATAAAATCAAAGCAGAGTGAAAACATCTGTAAAGGGAAGTTTCCAGAAAAGAAAAGAAAAGAAAACCAACCACCTCCGCTATAAGCTGGGCTGACTGATGAGAACCATGATCACAGAGAGTTGGAAAGTTATAGGGCTACAGCCCAAATTACCCTAGGCTATATTTGGTTGCCTTAACAGCCATTTATCATCCACCTCTGTGTTTGACCTAACACTATTGGTATTGTCAGCTCAAATCCTTTTGGGAATGGGCAAACAGACCCCTCATCTCTACCAGCTCCAAAGCTAAGTATTTCATCAGAATGAATTTGAGGCCCATCACAGAGGCTTCCCACTTTACTGTAACATGCCTACTTGATGTTCAACATAAACTTTAAGAATACCTTCATTTATGACTTTCTTTGTTCTGTTACTATGAAAACTTCATAAAGCTGTTACTGCATTGGAGTGTGGTATTTGGAGTAACCCAGATCAATGTCTCCAGGCCACTGCCACTCAAATTTAGATCCAGATTCCCTTTGAGATGTGAGCTATGTTATCTATCTGTCTATCATTTATCTATCTATCTATTCATTTAATGGGAGTGAACATGTACAAACACTTATTTTATTTTATTGAGACAGGGTCTCACTGTGTAGCTCTGACTGTCCTGGAACTTGCTCCACAGACCACGCTGGCCTTGAACTCAGAGAGATCTGCCTACTTCTTTCTGCCTTCCAAGTACTGGGATTAATGGTGTCACCATGCCTGGCTATTTATTTTTATCTTTTATATGACCCACATTAACCTGGTACCAAAGCCACTAAAGGACATTGAAAGAAAATACAATTACAGGCTGATATATTCAAATGAGAAAAAAAATCCCCAGTAACTTTCCCAAGGAAGTGGATTTCAACAGCACCTCCAAAGGATCAGTCACTATGGTCAAGTAGGGTTTGCTTTAGAGACAAAGAATGTCTGCACAATAATAGCACAATAATAAAGATGGCATAGTGCATTACAGAATAAAGAACAAAACCCTTGTGATCATCTCAAGAAATGTAGGATATAGCTTTGTTAAGTTCAAACATCCATTCACTACCGAATTATCTGTGGAAAAGCCATACATGGCAAGACCACAGAAGATACTACGTAATGAAAAAGATATCTAGCTGCAGAATCATGTTTTCAATATACTCCCAGGGCTCTAGTTATTGGTTCAAATGGCATGAATATTTCAAGATTATCAATCTTACTAAAACTTGTTTTCTAAACACTTTGGTTATATGAGCACTTCTTTCTCTATAGAATTCCAGAATTCGATGTTTTCACTGTTGTCTTGGTTCTAATCCTAAAGACTTAGAAAACTTATTATTTTAGTTTTCTTTGGTTACAAGTGAAATTGTGTTTTGTTTGTGTTTGTGAGTTTGCACAGCTGCACCTGTCTGTGTGCCTGTGTGTGTGTGTACACCTGCATATTTGTGTATTCTTGCGGAAGATACAGGACAGGTTCTGTTTCTCAGCTGTCCACTGTGTGTGTGTGTGTGTGTGTGTGTGTGTGTGTGTGTGTGTTAGAGTCTCTCAGTGGCCTGAACATCATAAAGTTGTGTAGACTGGCTGGCTGGGCAGTCCCAGGGACCTGCCCAGCTAAACTCCTCAGCACTGGGATTTGAAGTATGCACTAGCATTTCTGGGTTTACACAAGTTCTGGAGACTAAGCTCAGGTCTTCTTCCTTGAAGGTGAGCACTTTATGGACTGGGCTGCCTTCCAGGCCTTAGAAACTTAATGCTTTTAGAGAGCATTTCCATTTTAATGTGTTAGCTAGTCTTTTCCCATTTAACCTGTGGACATTTTGGGGGGCAATTCTAGAGACCATTTTCCCCTCAGTTAAACACCACATAATTTTTCCCTAGTTAATAATTAGCAAGAAGTTTGCACCATGACAAAAAGCTTCTGCATTTCAGAAATAGATTAACTAGGTTACTTTTTAACAAATGTGAGGTCAAAGAATGCTATAAAAGACTTGATTTTGCCATAGTCACATTATCTCCTGTATGTGGCCTTTTTTTTTTTTTTACTTAAACATGAAACACATAAAATTTATAGGCTTTATTTTTTTCTTGTTCTCTTTGACTGAATCCCTAGCCCTACCCACAAAGCCTCAGGATGTAGGTAAGGAATTATCTTGTATATCACCAGGGAATGACTAAATTAGGGGAATTACTTTTCTTTAACTTTTTAAAATTTTAATTACTTTCATGGTTTTATTTTTGTTATTTCTTTTCTTTGTTCATGTATACTGGTCAGTAATTTCAAACAACATACAGATTTTCATTTTCATTTCATATTACCCATTCTACAGGGTGTTTGAACTTAAAAAGGGCCAGCAATCTATATCAGATAGAAAGTGTTGTCTTGATATGTAATTTGGACTTCAAAATTTTAGTAATTTCTCATTCCAGGTATATTTATTCTAACAGAAGAAAAATATATACAGTATATACATATACACAACGTAAAAGGTCACACACATTCTTTAAAAAATATTTTTTTGTTGCCCACCGTATCTTCCATCTAGATGGTAAGTACCTTCAGGGTGTATGAGACCCTGCTTCCTCCTTCAGCTCTCTGTCATACATACACAGCAATAGGCTGTGCAAGGGGATATCAGTGATTTTATGTTTCCTATCCAAAGGATGGTCTTTTTAAATCCTTCTGGCCAGAAAGTCACATTTTCTGTACATGAGTGTAATTTTCTTTTTTTTAAATGTCAGCCCCAAAACATACATATAAGTGACACTATATAGACTGAGCAGGTTGCATTCATGTATTGAAGTATGTATATATATATATACATATATATATGTATATATAAAGTATGTAACAATGATTAATGGGAAAAGGTCATTTTTTGAAAGGTATATATATATATATGTATATATATATACATATATATATGCATATATAAAGTATGTAACAATGATTAATGGGAAAAGGTCATTTTTTGAAAGAGAGCAAGGAAGGGTATATGGGAGGGTTGGGAGGGGGGGAAGATGTGATGATGTTGTAATCTCAAAAACTAAATTTAAAAGACGAATGTAATTTTCACAAAGCATCGAGCATACAGCAGTGGTCCTGGCCTGTGTCATATCCTACCAGACAACCCATGAGGTCCTTGCTAGTGAAGATGGTCACAGGCTTGATGAGATGCTAGCTCTTGAGGACTTCCACTGCTTTCCCCACAGAACAACCCAGTTCAGATCCTGCTGCTTTTGTCTATTTAATGTACTGTGTCTGTGCTTTCTTTCCTTTCTATTACCTCCAGCAAAATTCAGGCCCCACTGGTTTTGCAGTAGAACAATTGCTACAGTCTCCTAATGATCTTCCAACTGTATCCTATCTAATTATTCTTCCTTCTTCCTACTGGACAAGTAGTTCCTATCACTTTCCATTTGTTAGGCTGAGGGAGGGTCCAGCACATATGATGCTTCATTGCCTGGTCTTTCTTATTGTGTAAACATAGTTATATTACTATCCCATCAGAAGTTCTCAATGGCTTCCAACTGAAGTCCACATTTCTTGATTGTATATATCAGATCCTCATAATCCAAACTCTAAAAGAGACCTTGTTCTTCTTATGAAAAGGATGTGCTTCTCCAAATATGTCTCAAGGTTTCTTGCCATTGTGCTTTTGCTTACATATTTCCTGCACACTAAAGACTGGGTATCCTTATACTCCTGCTATTTTTTAAAAGAAATTTTCAGTCTTAATTCATAGTATACTCCTCTAAAATCTTTTCTGGTCCTTTACTTAGGGATTACAAAGCACTCATGATGAATATTAACTATATTCTAAATTGAACGATAGGCATGTGTGTGCTCAGGAAAACAAGGTTTCATAATGCCCAGAACAGTATTTTACAAAAAAATTAAATACTTCAAAAATGTAATCTATGTGGACAAACATAAATCTTCTATGATCTGAGAAAGAATGTGTGATTTTGGGGAAGCCTAGAAATCACATGACTAGCGCTAAAAACTGCACTGACTGCTACCAGGCATAGTGTCTATGTCATATCTTGCTTTGATGGCATTGCTGATAAGCTAATCTTCATGTGACTTACCTTGTAAATGATATATAAATGGTAGACGTGTGGGATGGAAATGGCAAACCATCACTGGAAAATCTAAAACCTGCTCAGTTTCAGTTTAATTGAAATAACTTCAATTTATATTTCCTGAATACACACTCAGCTGAGCCAGCCACACACTCATATTTGTTTTGCGTGTATGTGTGGCTTTTACATTTCTTATGAAACATATTGAAATATTTCTACCATAGGCCTTTTATAGTTTCACACTTGAATAACACATAAGGTTATTTACTGGGAAAATGTTAAAATATAAGGATTGTAATAACCAAAATATTCCTGCTTTTCAGATCCCTTCTATGCTACCCATAAATTCATAGAGGAGAATACTGCATACCTGTGAGTTTTTCTGGATTCCCTTTCATTATGGTGCTTGCTGTATTATTATCTGGTCCATTCTAGGAAGGCAAATGCTCCTCAAAGATAATTTAATTAAATAGCAGCTGTGTTAACAGTAAATACGTTAGCCATGTCTATGAGTTATTTTTAGACATAACTAGAAATTCAGCAGATGATCACTGTGTCTCCTCTGTGGATTGTTGCAGGACCATCATTGCAGTTGCTCAGTATGTTCAGGAAGTATCCTTTGACGAGGTGGAAATGCTGGTGAAAGTCATGATGGACTACAGGGATAGGTGCTTGGCTAATCGGACACTTCCAGAGTGTTCAAAAATAGCTGTAAGTAAACTGCTTGGAATTCTTATCCAAACAAAATCTAAGAATGGTGCTCTAGACACACAGAATTTCATATCTAATGTATGCTTACAACATCTAGCAGAAGTGACTGGAACAGCCCAAATGAAAAAAACAAACAAAAGTAACATCATCAAATCAGATACTTAAAGTACTCAATAGAAATGACCAGGGAAGCTCTTCTGAAAATGCCTTGCTGGAGTTCCCAATTGGAGTTTTTCAGGACATCAGAGCTTTCTCTCCATGGACGAGAGTCTGAGTTCTCATCCCACTGCAGCCATTTTTATATCATAGGATGAACAATAATAACCTCTATTAGAAAGAGCACAGTGTTGTTAATACTCTTATATATTTACTGGTCTCCTTTCTCCCTGCCACATAATTAGGTGGCCAGTCTGTCCCAGTCTGGGAATTTTAGAGGACACTTGAAATAAACTTCCTTGAGTCTGAGACAAGGGAGAGCCTCCTCATGCCCAGAGTCCACTTTCAACAAGCCTGAGGAGCATGTCACAACTTACTGACATAATGTTTATCCAAGAACTGAATTGTAGGCATTAAATAGGACCAAGAGAAGCAGGCTTGCTGTAGGACCTCAAAGTGTGGGATGATGGCCAAAGGCCTTAGGTGAAACCATTCTGTAGATAGCTTGGAAACCATAACCTTTCCCCCCAAGAATAGCACTGTCCTTTGTGTCCACTGAGCCTCCTCAAGAGGTAGATGCTCTTTGCCTTGACAGGACATTGTCTTCCTCTCTGTTGTCCAGAACGAGGTCATACAAGACATGATCTGTACTACGGAGGGGCTGCCACAGAAACATAATGTTTCTCACTGCTGCAGTAAAGCCAACATTGAGAGAAGACTCTGTTTCTTCTACAACAAGAAAGCTAAGACAGGCTTTCTGCCCCCTTTCCCGACTCTGGATCCAGAAGAGAAATGTGAAGCTTATAAAAACAACAATGGATCTTTTCTAAACCTGTAAGCTTCATTTTGGTATCAAAAGGATTTGAAGTATTGTTCTTATGATCTAGCCTTCTTGTTTGTTGTTTTGTAGTTTTAAATTTTTGTTTTCCAAGAAAATTCTGCTTTTCTCTTATCTTTTCCTGTCTGGATTCATTGACGAATAGACTGAATGATAAAGTCACTCAATGCTTATTGTGTTAGGATCTGTGCTCAGTGAGGCTACAGCCATAGACCCTGCTTTTAAGACTCTTACATTAGCGCCTGTATCTTCTAATGTGATAACCCACAGGGCAGAGGTGTATGCAACCACGTTCAATAGGCTTGGACACATGGGGATGGAAGTATTTTCTTCCCAAGAGCAGGTGGACCTTCTAACTTAGGAAAACTTAAATTGTTGAACATGTAGCCTCAAATTTATTTGCAATAGCCTAGTGATTTCAGAAGGAAAGTTTTTTTTTGTTTGTTTTTTTTCTGGAAAGCTATTGTGCTTTGAAACAACAAGTTTGTTTGAACTTAAGGAGGTATGGTCCTTGAATCTCAGATGTGATGTGTTTAGATGGCTGTTTTTCTTTAATATTGTATGGAGACAGGCTTCCAATGTCACAGGAAGGGAGGGAAGGAGAACACACACAGCTCAGTGCTCAGGATGAGAACTGCCAAAATCATCATTAATTTGGAGTTAGCAGCTCCAATGCTAAGGGCTGGCAATGGCTGGTTCTGGTAGCTGGATCACAATGCTTTTCACTCAACTTTCCTGCAATAGTTGTCATTTTTTAACCTTCCCTTCATTTTTACAACTTGCTCTCCTTGTCTTCTTCTCCCCACCCTTTCCTTCCTTTGTAAACCATCCTTCTCCATCTCCCTTTCCCTTCTCTCATTTAAAAACCTTAATGTTTTATAGCTATATGTATGAGGTTGCCAGGAGGAACCCCTTTGTCTTCTCCCCTGTTCTTCTAACTGTGGCTGCTCAGTTTGAGGAGGCAGCGACCACATGTTGTGAGCAGCAAGAGAAAGCCATTTGCTTTCAGGCCAAGGTGAGTATCACACTGGTTTTATCAAAGGGATGAAAATGTCAATGCCATAGCTCCAGATCTTCACTTAAAATTAAACATTACAAAAGGTATATCTTCCAGATTCCATATTATCTTACCACGCTCACTGACGTTAAGTTCATTGGTCAGCACTGAGAGAAATGCACTGTTTACCAGAAACCTATGAAAGGCATTCACCAATTGCTAGCGTCCCACTTTGGGTTTTATTTTTCTTATAAACTGGAAGAAAGCCCAAGTGCAGGAGTGTCCAGAATAAATGCTGGCATGATGCTTTCTGTTGTGACAAACTTTCCTTTGGCTTTATCCACAATATGGAATAGTGCCAGTAGTGGCAGCCATGTTCAGGGGACATGCTGCATCAAGCCTTCTCTTACCAAGTGCAATGCTATCATCAGGAATAATAGTCCTTTTTACATGCCATTAAAATCACATTTTAAGATACACAGTTCTCTCAACATGGAAATTTACTAAGATAAAATTCCAGATGTTTTCTGTAGCTGGAAATCTTCTGGAGTAGTTGATTTACATGTAATTAAAAACTAAGAAAACAATGAGATTTGGGTCTCATTTCAACAGAATTTCCTCTATCTTCCAGGCAGCTCCTATCACGCAATATTTAAAAGCATCATCTTCTTACCAAGGAACTGTTTGTGGAGCCCTTATGAAATTTGGACCCAAAGCCTTAAATTCTATGTGAGTTTTGTACTGTGTCTCTTGTATTTTCTTGCTTGTGGCACACATTTTTTGTTGTTGTTATTATTGTTGTATCTGTTAAATAGTTGATGATTTTTACCTGTAGTCTTTCTGGTTCTTAAGGGTTTGGGGGTGGTGAGTCTACATGGGTAGTTTGAAACAAGGTCATTAAGGCAAGACGGAAAAGACATGGGGATGAGAGGATGCCAAGGGAAAGGAAGCTGTCCTGAGATGCCTTGTGGATAGTGTGTGGGGGATGTTTTTTCTATAACCACAATCGGCTCACATGGCATGTTTGGCTGTAGTAATTATGGAACACAGAGATTCTCTCAGGCCATTTGTAGCTGGAATTTAGAATTGGGAGTGATGTTGGCAAAATCCCCTGCATTTGATTTGCCAGCTGATCATACAGACCACATAACAACACCATCAGCTATTTGATAAGAACATCTGTGCAAAAATCATGTTATCAATTGTCTTTGATGCTTATGCAATTTGTGTTGTATAAAAAGGGCCCTTCTTCTTTATCTATTGGCTATTCAAGTGATCTTAGTGGCCTATCAATGATCTTTCCAGAAACACTGCTGTATTCAGTAAAAAATTCCCCAAGATTGGATTTCAGGACCTTACTTCCCTCTTAGGAGATGTTTCTACTATGTATGACATGTGCTGTGAAGGGGATGTGGTGCACTGCATCCGAAGCCAGGTAAATTTTTTAAACAGAATAAAAAACTGATTTTAATAGTTATTTTTTACCTTTATAGTCTACTTATCACATAAAATTGCTCAGTTATTATATTCACTGAAATACTGTGTTACATCTATGTGTACAATGTGTACTGATTAACTTAGGCATTATCAGTCTGTCCTTTCTTTGTGTTTAGAGACTTCAAGGCTCCTTTCTTCTAGTTCTTCATAAAATATGTACTAGGTTAACTGTGAGCGGGGACCTACCTAGGCTAGAAGTCCTGTTATCTGTCATCTCTATCTCTTACTGCCCATTAGTAATTATTCTCTTTTATATCATAAGTCCACAGTAAACCTCAGAAAATGATATTATTGTTGATTTTTTAAAAGTTGTTTTGTTTGATTTCCTAAGGTCTTTTCAAATAATTTCAAATGATCTCCTTTCCTCTTTCCCATCTTCCTTTCCTCGCGCTCTCCCTCCATCCTTCCCTCCCTCCCTTCCTCTTTCTTTCTAATTGACAAATAAATATTGTATGCATTTCTATACATATGTTTTTGAGGAAAGGGCACTTCCAATTTACTTCCCTAGCAATTTTTAAGTTATATGGCATACTATTATTAACTATAGTTACCATGGCCTACAATAGAATTCCTGAAATTATTTCTCCTATGGATCTGAAATTTTGTCTTTGACCAACATCTCTCCCTCCAATTCTTGCACCTACCCCAACATCTGTTAACCCTTAAAGTGTATTTTGTTTTTTTAAGGAAATATACCAGCAAACATTGTTGCAGAGCTGAAATAGTTCACGTACTTTAAAGGCAATGCAATTTCATTAAAAATACACAGATTTAAAGTTTGGGTTCTGGGGATTACACATATGTTCTCATGTTTGGAAGGAGAATACTTGATCACTGAACCATCTCTCCAGCCCTCTTGCTGAAGTGTAGCTCTTCACAGTTGATGATTTCTCGGGGGAGGTGGGGAAGGACTCAGTTATCTTTAAGGGATTGGCCACTGGGAGTTTCACCATGCTCCAGTGGGTATGCAATCAGCACAAATTGGACTTGGGCTATTTTTTTCTTTCTTCACCCATTTTTTGAGGTGGGGCACAAGGGTGGGAGGGTTTCATAGGTGTGCATTGTATGAAATTCTCAAATGATCAATAAAAATATTAAGTTGGAAAAAATTAAGTACTAGAAAAAAGCTTTGTTTCAATGGCTTTAAGTTTGTTTAGCTGTTTTAGTTACAGTAAAAAGAGTATATTAAATAAGTTCAATTTTATGGGATTGGGAAATATCTGCTTTAAATTAAGCAGTGGACAGAAGATGTCCTCCCAAATTATTTTATTCTCAAATGTAACCCAGTTAAAGAGATGCCACTCATAATTTTCATAGTATTTGGTTGTTTATGGAAATGTGGGTTTAATAATGTTAAATCTAATATGCCAAATTAGCATAATAATTTAAATTTTCTGTGCCTTGTAGCTGAAATTAAAGGATCATATTGTATTTCATATTTCCTCCTCTTTAGTGTCTTTATGGAGAAATGGAAGAAATTCAATTGTCATTAACTGAAAATAGAACGAATTCTTAGGAAATTAAAGCAGGCTTTGGTTAGAACAATACTGGCTTCAGATGAGATATGAACACTGGAAATGTGGTACAAATTCTCACTGCACTCTCACCTTAACCTTGGACTTCATGCTGTCCTTTACCCTCAGTATTTACCAAAAGATTCCAGAGAGTGGGAATATGTTGAGTCTCATCATGGAGACCCAAAGTACCCAGAGAGTGTGGGACAGGGTGGGGTGAAGGTGCAGGAGAGTCTAGAGAGGAGACTGAGAGCCAAGTCAGCTTTTAAAATTGGTCCTGTGTGAATAAGATAATTTTCCTCTTTCCCTTGTCCCCAAGCTTTATGTAGAGGTAAGAACAGTGAGGAAAGGAGAAGACAGGGTTTCTCTATTATTCACTATATACATTTGATTATTTGAACAGCCTCACATTTAGGGCAGACATATGGAAATAATTACACAAATAAGAAAGTGTCTTCTATCTGGGAAGTCTCCACTTGGTAGTTTCTGTAATAGTTAACTTCCTAATCAATCTTTTGTTTTTTAAGTTTTTTTGTTTGTTTGTTTGGGGGGGTTGTTTGAGACTGGGTTTCTCTGTGGCTTTGGAGGCTGTTCTGGAACTAGCTCTTGTAGACCAAGGTGGTATTGAACTCACAGAGATCCGCCTGCCTCTGCCTCTGTCTCCTGAGTGCTGGGATTAAAGGCGCGTGCCACCACTGCCTGGAAGTCTATTTTTTTTCAGTTGGTTTTTTTTCATACAATATAGTTTGATCACATTCTTGAAGTCTATTTTTTTTTCAGTTGGTTTTTTTTCATACAATATAGTTTGATCACATTCTTTGCCTTCCCCCATCCTAATCTTCCCCACCTCTCTACCCATCCAACTTTATGTCCTTTATCTCTTTCTCAGAAAAAAATAAAAACCAAAGATCAAAATGAACAAAACAAATCAAGACAAAAGGCAATACCAAAACAAAAGACATACCCATGCATACACACACACACACACACACACACACACACACACACACACACACACACAACACACACACTCTATTCCTGGGCATGGGACCTACTTTGGAGTGTGGTTGATATACTCAGTGCCATTCCACTGGAGAAAACTGATTTCCCTTTCCCAGAAGGTATCAGTTCCAAAAACCTTCTTGGTTAAGGCAGCCACCTTGTGCCCACTTTCCCCTGTTGTGTCTGAAAGATGCTGTTTTCTTGGAGTCATTTACCACCTCTGGCTCTTATAGTCTTTCCATTTCCTCTTCCACATAGACCCACGAATCTTGAGTAGAAGGGTTTGATGAAGACATTCCATTCAGGACCCAGTGTTCCAAAGTCTCCCACTCTCTGCACATTGGCCATTTGTGGGTCTCTGTGTTAGTTGCCATCTACTGCAGGAAGAAGATTCTCTGATGAGAGCTGAAGCTTCTAGTTGGGCACTAGATAGATTTCTCCATGTTCAGTGACATATGTAAATGGTGTCTTCAGCAATAGGGCCTTACCAACAGGCAGTGGAAGGTAACCCATAGAATGACAATAGCCTATGCGTGGGGAAGTCTTTGGGACACCTTTGCCAACAACTCAACAAGATGTAACCCATTCATGTTACTGAGCTTTTACTTCTTAGCCTAAGATGTCTAGTTGGAGTATTTTATCCCTCATTATATGGTAACTCCATATAACCCTTCCATACATGTATGTATTTTAGGAAGCTTCCGCAATAGAAAATTTCTTGTGGCTTTTCAAAAAGGCCTTTGGTGTTAGTTGTCCCTACCCAGATTCCTTCATTTCTCTTTTCTGCCTTCTATTTCTATCCTTTCATCATCCTCCTCATTTAATCCTTCTATTCTAGTTTCTCCTTTGTCCCTTTATGACACTACCATATATTTATGCTTCCTTGGAAGAGCCCCTCCTTCCTTAAAAACAGATTTTGTGTGTGTGTGTGTGTGTGTGTGTGTGTGTGTGTGTGTGTGTGTGTGCGCGCGCGCGCGCACGCACGTGCACATGCGCACACACGGTGTGCACCACCTTTGTGCAAGTGCTTACAGAAGCCAAGGGGCTTTGGATCCTCTGGAACTGGAGTTACAGGCAGCCATGAGCCACCATGTGGGTGTTAGGAACAGAACCTGGGTTCCCTGAAAGATCAGTCAGTGTCCTTAACCTCTAAGCCACTCCTCTAGTCCCCTAACAATACTTCATTCATTTATCAAATATTTGTGGGTTTTATTACATCCTTGGAAAGATAGTTTTAGTCCACAAGAGAACAAGATTAGATGAGATGCATTGTTATGCCTTTAGTGGCTACTGTGGAAAGCACAGACAACTCTCGTGGGGTACAACAACATTAGAAGATAAGGTAACAGTGAGACCATTGGGATGGCTCAGTGGGTAAATACACTTGCTTTTAAGGCTGAGAACCTGAGTTTGGTCCCCAGGATCCTTATGGTGGAAAGAACCAGCTTCCACAATTTGTCCTCTGACCTCTACATATGTGCTGTGGCAGGCATGTGTGCCCACTTCCCTAAAACTAAGTAGATAAATACAGTAATTTTTTTAAATTAAAGTTGCAATGTATCAGAGAAGTGGGGAGAAAGTACTTAAAACACTAACATTAAACAATGAATGTAAGTTTATGAGAGAGCCCCCTCCTTTTTTAAAAACAATTATAGGACCTAAAATCTTTTCCCCTCTTTTTTCCTTTATTTAAAATTTAAATTAGAAACAAGCTTGTTTTACATGTCAATCCCAGTTCCCTCTTCCTCCTCTCTTCCCTTGCTCCCCACCAACCCCCATCCCATCCCCTTTCTGCTCCACAGGGAGGGTGAGGCCTTCTTTGGGGGATCTTCAAAGTCTGTCATATCATTTGGAGCAGGGCCTAGACCCTCCCCTGTGTGTCTAGGCTGAAAGAGCTGCTCCACAGGGAGGGTGAGGCCTTCCATGGGGGATCTTCAAAGTCTATCTTATCATTTGGAGCAGGGCCTAGGCCCTCCCCCAGGTTTCTAGGCTGAGAGAGTATCCCTCTATGTGGAATGGGCTCCCAAAATCCATTTTTATACTAGGGATAAATACTGATCCACTACTAGAGGCCCCATAGATTGCCCAGGCCTCCTAACTGACACCCACCGTCGGGGATCTGGGTTGGTCCTATGCTGGTTTCCCAGCTATCAGTCTGGGGTCCATGAGCTCCCCCTTGTTCAATGACCTAAAATCTTAAGGGAAGAAAACAGTTGCACTAATGTGAAACTTCATGAATATTAAGTCAATGTGAAATTTAATATTTATCTAATCAGTTGATGGGGTTGGTGGTAATGTATGTTCAGGATTGGCTTTGTGGGGAGCCATTCTTTTATGAAGGAAAAGCCAGTTTTGAAGAAAATCTGAGAGTCAAAATTTCTCTTGTCCTTATTTGATACAGAGCCAGGTTATGAACCATATTTGTTCAAAACAAGATTTCATCTCAAGTAAAATCAAAGAGTGCTGTGAAAAGAAAATGCCAGAGCGTGGAGACTGTATCATTAACACAAATAAAGAAGACAAACCAGAAGACTTATCTCCCAGAGAACCTAAATTTACTGACAGCAAAAATGTGTGTCAAGAACAAGATTCTAACCTGGACGGCCTCTTAAATGAGTACTATAACTCTCTATTAAAAGTTTAGAAAACAAACATAACTAGGACATTTCTATGTTGGCTAATTTGGGTAGAAGGATAAGGCACCATTTAATTCACTGGCATTGTACAATTTATAAAGATCATGGCTTGCAATTAGTTTTTCCACACACTTTGAAGTAATGGCTAGCATATACTGAATGCTTTATATGTGCCAGGCAATAGGCTAAACATCTAGATAATTCAAATTATTGATTTTGGTTCTAAAACCAAATGTAGAGTAAGTGCCATTTCTCCTGGTATTTTGAACGAGCAAACTGAGAAATAAAGAAGTTAAATGGCTTGTTCAAGATTCACAGGTAAGAATCTGAACTCAGGGAGTCTGGTCTTAGCAAGTCACAGGCTTGGCTGTCCAGGAATGTCACTCCACAGTTCTGAAGGGGAAGATTAATGGACTGTAAGCTGCAGAACTAAATCTGAATCTTAGTTGTCACTGGGGCAAAAACTCTCTGCTTTATTTTCTGTTATTTTTGATTTTTAAAGTCAGTGCAAAGTGGTGGGTTTCATTCTGGGATTTTCATGTTTATATGTCACTATACTTTGTTCTTATTCATCCCATTCTCCTTCCTTCATCCCATTGCCTTCTTCTACCCCATCTGCCCTCCACTTTCTGCCCACCTTCTTTCCCCACAATCCTCCAACTGCTTTTAAGTCACATGACTCTCATTGCTCCCCCGCCCCCCCTCCCCCACACACATTTAAATCTAGATTCTGTGTGTGACAGAAACATGCAGTATTTTTCTTTCTGAGTCAGGCTTATTTTCTCAATATAATGATTCCCAAATTCCACGGATTTTCCTGCAAATTTCATGATGGTTTTTTCTGATGAATGAAGAAATGCCATTGTGTATGCACCACATTCTCTTTATTCATCTGCTCATGGTTCTAGTTCGTAGCTATTTTGAGTATCAGAGCAACTAAACACAGATGTGGATGAGTCTCCGTGGCCCATTGACTTGGAGTCCTTCAGATAAGACACAGCTTTGATACACAGTATCATGTATCAAATTATTCTAAGAGTTGTTATTAAATAGTTCCAACAATTCTGTCCTCTTCAATGAGGAAAGGATGTTAGTCTGAAACATAATACAGAAAAAAATTGTGAAAAGTGTTCTAATGAAGAGACTAAATTCCAGATTTGGCTTTGACAACAGACACAGTATTAGACCTTACTAGATTCATTGAAAGCAGAGTTGACTCTTTTGTTCTTTCTGAGTTCTAACATATATATATTATGCACACCTCAGGTTTACTTATGAATACTCCAGGAGACATAATCACCTTTCCACACCAGAGCTTCTAAGAATCACTGAAGTGTATAAGGATCTCCTGGAAGATTGCTGTAGCAAAGAAAACCCAGCAGGATGTTACCGCCATGCGGTAGGTGCCATGGATGTAGATTCAGAAAACCAAAAACGATGACTAATTTTCATTAAAGCTTTCTGATTTCAATATAATTATATACTATATGCACTATACAATTACATTATAGTTATATTAAATTTTTCTTTCATATTTCTTTCCCTATATTTGCATATGTCTTAAAAATAAGATCAAAAAAGTCCATTTCTTAGAAAATGTTTGGACCTTCATTATTTAGTATAACGGGAAACTTTTGATTTTGTATTAAATGGTGCTATATTTATTTCCCATTGTGGCCACACAGCTAATGATTTAAAAGAACAAACACTTCTTCTCCCCAGAGTGTCAGGGTATGAAATAAGCAAGCAGTACAGGGCTCAACTCAAAGTGGTAAAATGGCTGTTCCTTCCATAGGCTCCAGGGAGCATGTGACTCCCAGCTTTCCTAAGGTTGGCATTCTAGCGTAGTGATGTGAAGTCATTTACTCACCTGCTCTCCTATGGTGTGTGTGTTGTTATTTTGCTTCAGTTGCAGCTGCAGGTGATGAAACACAAACCACAAAACTCAACGTAACCCACATGGAATTTACTGGGGAAAGGAACAAGGAGAGGGGTAGTTAGCTAACTGGGAACAGAGATGGAAGAGAGAGGAGAAGAGGAAGGGGGAAGGTGGAGGGGGAAGGAGCCAACAGGCAGGAAGAACTCACTTAAAAGGGAAAGCTTGCACATGCACACAGAGTCCTTACGTGGCCACAAAAAAACGCATGCTGTAGCCATGGTGTAACCACGCAACACAGGGCCCTTTGAGCTGTCCAAGTATATGCCTGAATTCCAGGTGCATATCCTGCTGATTGTTAGGGGGTGGTTAGCACAGTGCCTGGATACCAACAGTCAGGACACTGGGCGTGTTAGTTATGTGTTTACAGTTTTGTAAGTGGTTCATAAATGAGAACCTCCTTCTACACATTTTCTTTAGCATTTATAGTGTTTCTCTCAGAATGGATCATCAGTTGAGGGGATAACTGGGTCAAAATATACAAACTAAGGTTTTTTTTGTTGTTTGTTTGTTTTTTTGCCAGAGTTGAGTTCTAGAGCAGTGTTCGAGCATGTTGGTTTCATGTACAAATTAGACTTCATCGATTTGTGCATAAAAAGTGGCTATGTTTTAAGTATTTGCTTGATTTCTAAAATCATAGTAAAATTTTCCTATACAAAAGGATGGATATGATCAAAAGTTGTATGAAATTTTCAACTAAAATAGCTCCTATAAGATTTGATATATTATTTTAAGTTTTATATAAAAATTTGTTTGTTTCTTGTTTTCATATTGAAATGAATAACTTTCCAGATCTCTTCATATACTTATAAAATATAACTTCACATATCATAAGAGCACTTGAAAATTTTTCACAATTCCTTTGTTATATACTACTTTTGCTTTGTTTTATATTTTTCTTTCACATATTATAAAAGTTTATAATCATTAAAATTTAGGCAATGCAATAGAAAACTGTTTTTGTTTTATTTTCATTTATACTCTGTCATTGTCCTTAACAAGCCACTCTGCTCCTCATCTTTGAATGAACCATGGTACTAGAAAACTCTTTTCATGGAGACATGTTTGTGCCACCATACATTTGTGTTACAGTGTGGTTTTCTCTCATAGTCCCATGAAAAATGTACAATTTATGCTTGGACAAAAAAGTCCACCAAATAATTGAAGATAATTATGGGAGGTTTTAAGCTCTAAATCTAAATGATGGAAAAAGATACAAATAAAGATAAATACACCTACAATGTTCTACAGCAATGCTTATTAGCTTGGTCACCCTCGGAAAGTTGCTTAAGTTCACAAAAATACGTCCCTCTACTAACGATGCAGAAAACAACTTCTCTGGCTGCTTTTAGATGAGGATTAAGTACAGATATTGCCAAGATAAAATTTTACCATGTAACTCCTAACACTCTAAAAAAGATGAGATATTTGAACTGTCTATAACTGAATAATTCAAATTCTTGCTCTATTTGGTGAAAAAAATTGGTAATTAGAGTTTGGATGTAATCCGTAAACACAAAAGGATACTCTACAAACTGACATGTGGCCTCATTCAGTTTTAGATAAAATGCTTATAATCACGATTGCTTTTAACTTTTAGGAGGATAAGTTCAATGAGACAACTGAGAAGAGCCTGGCAATGGTGCAACAGGAATGCAAGCTCTTCCAGGAGTTGGAGAAGGATGCCCTGCAACTCCAGTAGGTTGTCTGCATACCTGGGCTCACATTGTGACCAGGATCAAATGATCTTTCAAATAGAGAATGTTAGGTCAGTTTTTCAGTTGTGCCAATTCATCACCTGAATTGAGAAGGAACAAGAACATAGAAGTCATGAATCCACACTGAGCCTTTACATGAATCCTTGACCAGAAATGAGGTCACAAATGAAAGGATTAGGAGATTCTAGACAGAGTGTTCCAGTAATGCTTTAGTGTCTGTGAACATGGGTTTTCTCACCCCCAAACTAGAATTCCTGAGTTCTGTCCTGTGTGAGTGGAGAGTAGAGAAAACTTCAGGTGGCTATGTTTCCTAGGAAACCGTTGGTTAGTTCAGGGTTTCAGCCAGTGTTGATTACAGAATTACCAGTGGATTTGCTTAACATTGTAGTATTTTGGTGCTTTTAGGAGAATTCAAGAATAGTATGTAGTTAATTTAGGTTTGAAAATAATCATCATGCTAATGCTGGATTTATTAAAGCTCAACATCTTTAATTAAAATGTGATGTCATTATTCCTGCAATGTTGCTGTTATCTGTGATGTCCACCTCAGTCCATTTAAGGATCTTCGCTTTCTTTATCTTATTCCTAACACGTCTGTCAAATGCTCCTTTTAGACTACTTACCATTAACACAAAATATTTCACCAACTTTACTTACTGGCCAAAGTTGTTTCTGCCCAGGATGTTCTATTGTGTTTTGGTGTTAACTGTTCCTGTCTTTCATGGGTTTGGTTGATCTGGGGTATAGTAGCTATTCAAGGGAAAATAGGTGTCTGCCATCATCCAGAGCCAAACACGTTTGTTTTCTTTCAGTTACCTTGTCAAGTTCACCAAGGCAGCCCCCCAGCTGTCCCTGGAAGAGCTCATCTACCTTAGTAAGGGAATGATGGAGGCTTTGACAACCTGCTGCACCCTAAGCGAAGAGTTTGCTTGCGTTGATGACTTGGTGAGTATGGCCCATGTACCTGCCTATTCTTTTCTTAAAATCTGCAATTCTTAAAGTGTAATTACATCATTACCCCTCACTCCCTTTCAAATTCATGACCTCTTTTTCTTTATTATCATTACACACACACACACACACACACACACACACACACACACACGCACACAAATGTATAAATAAAACCTGGTGAGTCCGATCAGTGTTACTTGCATGTAACACTTTTAGGCTTGATCATTTGCTATTGGGCCCATCCCTGGGGAAGACTAATTCTTTCTCTCTCAGCAGTTCTCAATTGCATGTAACTCTAGAGGTGGGGCCCAGTGAGATCTCCCCCCTCCATTAACATATCTATGGATGTTCTGGCTATTAGCTGTTGTTCCTGTGGTCTCCTTGTACAGTCTTAATTGGCCAAGAATTCACTCTGTAGTCCAGGCTGCTCCCAAGTTGTGATCCTCCTGCCTCTGACTCTTGGGTGCTGGGATTGAGGACCTGGAACTTGGCTTTTCTTTCTCAATCCTTCCATTGTTGATTTATAATAATTCTCTACCTTTCTTTGTTGTTTTCCACCTTGTCCAAGCAAGAAATATTGTTTTCTCTTTTGGTACACCATGTGAATCCCTGAAAATCAGAAGACAATGTCCTCAGTCGTTTTCAAGGATTCTTCAAATTATTTTTCTTCACTTTAAATTATGTCAGAGATGATTGGCAAATGATTTAGGAAACTCAGTATTGTTCCAGAATGGCACAGAAAACCTTATTTGCTTATTTTGTAATTCTTACACATGCTGGGCAGGCTATCCCTATACTACATCCCAGACCAGAAACTCTACCATTTTAAATAGTGTTATAATTTTTTATTTTAAAAAATGTATTTCTCATTTTACATATCAACCCCAGCTCCCCTCCCTCCCTTTCCCCCCCTAAACATCCCATCCCCATCTACTCCTCATAAGGGGGAAGGCCTTCATTAGGAAGTCACCAAAGTCTGGCATACCAAGTTGAGGCAGGACTAAGCACCCCCATCAAGGCTGAGCAAGGTATCCCACCACAGGGAATGGACTCCAAAAAGCCAATTTATGCACTGGGATTGGTCCTGGTGCCACTGCCAGCCTCCTCCCCCTCCCCCGCCCCCAAACAAATCAAGCCACATAACTGACACCTATATTCAGAGGGCCTAGTTCAGTCCCATGCAGGTTCCCCAGCTGTCAGTCTGTAGTTGTGAGCTCCCACTAGCTTGGGTCAGCTGTCTCTGTGGTTTTCCCCATCATGCTCTTGACCCACCTTGTTCATTTGACCCACCTTCTTCCCTCTCTTCAACTGAACTCCAGGAGCTCTTGACTCACCTTCCTCCCTCTCTTCAACTGAACTCCAGGAGCTCAGCCCAGTGCATAGCATAGTGGGTCAATCCGTTTGCCTTCAAATTTCCCAGTGTCCTTGTTTTTAACAGTTGAGTAGTACTCCATTGTGTAAATATAATTAATTGCTACAGGTTGAATTTCTGTAACAGTGCCATTTAGGCTTTACCTCTCTTGCTACACAGTACAACAGTACAGTCTTAAAAGAATAGAGTCTTACGAGTACCTGTGTTTTCCTAAGCAAGGTTGCAGGTGATTTCAGAACTAGCTATTCACCTAATCATATGTATTTTAAGGTGTCCTTGGAATTTTAAAATCACCTCCACATTCCTCTTCTCATCGACACAGGCAGATTTAGTTCTCGGAGATTTATGTGGAGTAAATGAAAATCGAACTATCAATCCTGCTGTGGACCACTGCTGCAGAACAGACTTCGCCTTCAGAAGACACTGCTTTGAGCATCTGCAGGCTGACACAACCTACGAGCTCCCATCATTCTCTGCACTTATATCTGCTTTGCGTTCAGACTGGTGTCAGGCTCACAAGGAGGACCTTCAGAATAAGAAACACAGGTACAAACTCCCTCCCAGGCCCTTTCTACAGCCTGAAGGCATGTCTGATGCAGAAAATTAGTGTCTTGGTGCTTCAGCTGATACAACTTGTATTATTCAAAATAGTTTGCTCTTCTAGCCACAAGACAACATGTGTATTTATTGCTATTGTTTATAAATAGGCATCTAGCTTTCCTTCTTCCTTATTGGAAATTTGGAGCATCTGTCCACCAGGCTGTGATTTGGAAAGAAGGGCCATGCAGTTATATAGAGGGTTACCAGACAGTTGCAGATGAGGTGGACTTTTTTTCTTTTAGGAGATGATGATATGGGTATTTTAAAAATTGTTACATTTATTTGTGAATTAATTTGTGTGGGGGGCGGTTTTTGTGTGTGTCTGTACACACATATGCACATGTGCTATTGCACGAACCATGTACAAGAGCTGAGAGGTCAGAGGACAGTTTATGGCTGTTGGTTTTCTGCTTCCATCATGTGTGTCCTGGGATGGGTCTCAGCTTGTCGGGCATGGGGGCAGGCACCTTTACCCACTGAGCCACTTTACCATCTCCAATGATACATATTTTTTATATTTTTGTTTTTTTCGAGATAAGGTTTTTCTGTATTGCTTTGGAGGCTGTCCTGGACCTCTGTGTAGACCAGGCTGGCCTTGAACTCACAGAGATCCTCCTGCCTCTGCCTCCCGAGAGCTGGGATTAAAGGCGTGTGCCACCAATGCTCGGCAATGATACAGATTTTTATCTTGAGAGTTTCAGTGTTTTAAAACAGGAGAGATACAAATTTTACTTCTAATCTCTCAGGTAATGTTTAAGTGCCAGGAATAATGACACATCATTTTGGATTTAGATCTGTACCAACTGTAATAGAAACAGCATTAGCGGAGGGAAGGGAATTAATTTAGATGAATCTAGAAGCTCTACTATGTTCAATCAGGTCCATTTTTTTGTCTGTGAGTCCTCCAAGAGTCCATTCTATGAATTAGAAAGAAAGTTTCATAAGACCCTTGCAGAAATGGAATATTTAAACTTTTTACACTCACAAACTTGAAGCCTAGGACGTGTGTATTTCTGTAACAAACATTTTGAAGAAGAGGGGATCATTCACTGACTCTGTTGGGTGTCTGTGAGCACAGGTTTATGGTCAACTTAGTGAAGTGGATGCCAGAGATCACGGCTGAGGAGCGTCAGTGTTTGTTCACAAAGTTCATTGCTGCTGGGGAGAAGTGTGACCAAGTGCAGGAGCCTGAAACCTGTTTCCGTCCAGAGGTAGTTATTTGTTATTTTCCACTGAAATTCAGGAAAGATGAACAAAGTAAAATTCCCTATGGGATCTTCCTCTTCTCTGCCAAGTCCTGAGTCCTATGTTTGAGAGCACAATCATCACCAAACTCAAGTTTAGATGTCCATGATAGAAGCTCCAGGGAAAGAAAAACTGTCAGGCAAACGTGGTTCCAAACCTTGCTGTCTTTTCTGTGTAATTCAGACAAAATTGCATCCATTGTCTGTAAAGGATGGTAAGAACTGTGCTAGAATGACACCATTGCTCCTAACTCCTCAACTCTCTTGTCACCTTAGAACCATGGGGTCAAGGCGACTTGTCAAGGAAGTCATTGTCAGCTGGGAAGGGAGAAGGGCAGGAAGGGCACTAGGAAAGAAAGGCTTTTAAGATTGCTGTTTGATCTTTCTGGATCTTCCCATGGTCACTCAGTTGACAGTACCTGGGGGAGTTGAGGGGAAGGGAGTGGGAGAGAGCAGGGAGCTGCCCCTGCTCTTCTTACTCCTGTGGCTGTGGCACTATGGTTTCCTGCTGTATTGTGACCCTGGTCCTGTGAGTGTCAACCCCAGAGGATGGCTCTGTGGAGGGTGTGATGAAGTCTCCACCCTCCTTCCTCATTATTTCTTTCCCGGCAGCTCATGGTGTGCTTCCCAACTCCTCCACAGTTCATGCACACTCATGCACACTCACGCACACTTGCAGGCACACACATTATACACATATTTCATCCTGCTTGAGAGTCCTCTATTTTGCTGAGTGACAGTCTTTGGAAAACCAGTGATAAAATTATGAGTTTGCTAAAAATATATTTACTTTAATTAGAGGATATTAACCACCATCTAGCATTTGCCCAAGTGTGTCCTTAAAGACTGTATAAAAAGAGAGATGAATTTATGTGTAGTACATAAAAAGACTTCAGTGTCTTTTCTCAAGCTTACTTGAAGGGTGCTCTCTCTCCCTTCCTTTCTCCCTCCCTCCCTCCCCTCTCTCTATGTGTATAGGTGTGTATAGGTGTCTATATCTTCATTCAAAACTCAGATGAACGTGTTTCCCAAAATTTAAACATGGCTACCTCAAACTTTTCTTCCTATAATTTTATTTCTTTTTTTCTCTCACAGGCTTCAAATATTGGTAATGAAAGTGAAGCTGCTAATAAAAAAAGATAAAACACCAGAGGTAAACATTTTTATTTCAGTCAAATGTATAACCTTGATGTAATGCTCAGCTTCCATGTCTTTTTCCTTTTTATGTGTCAAATGTCTGTTTCTGATTTGACTCACACACCTAGGAGTTCACGGTACCCAGTCCAGGTCCTGTGTGTTTCTCTGGATGCCAGTCATTATAAGCAGGGCAGGAATGCTGCATCATGCCAGGTCTGTTCAGTTTCTGAATAATCCAAAGGCACCCATGTTTCTTCTTTTCTGCATTCTTTTGTCTAAATCAGAAAAGAAAGACAGTGGGTCTCTGGAAAGGTAAAGCTGGTGAGGTAGCACATTTCTGTAATCACAGCACTTGGAATGCTAGGTCAATGGGATGGATGCAGGTTCTAGGCCAGCCTGAGCTACATAGTGAGTTCCAGACTAGCCAGAGTATAGAGTGAGACAGTACCTCAAAGAACTAAGGTGGGAGAGGGAAAGAAAAGTGCTAAATTTTCAGGGAGGAATAGACAGACAGACTATCTCTGTAAACTTCCAAAAGTCTCTTTTGAGGGTCTCACCGAAAATCATTGTGCTGAGGCATGATCAACAAATAAAAGAGAATGCTTGCCTAAACTTATGTTTGCAATGAATATGTTTTCAAAGAATATTCATAAAAGCTGCTCCTTTCCCTGCAGTTTACATATGACTCATGATGACAGCAATGATACTCAGTGTCAGAAGAGAGGGACTGGTTTGCTACCCTCTATATAGCTCACAGTTCACACTAGTAGAGTATTATTAAATGTCTGCCTATTACCTGAGTTTGGATTCTTTCACTGCATAATCTTTTTTTCTTTACAGCCAATATGCCATCACAGGCTCCCTCTCCATCCTCTGGTGAGGTTCAGCTCCTAAGAAGAACAGGATAGAAGATTCTTGAATCATGTTACTACAAAAATCAATAAAATGAAAGTATAACGTTACCTCACAGACCGATGTCATCTATTAGCCTGATCACAGAACTAATCAATTGTGTTGCAGTCGGCAAAGTGATTGTTGTGTGTCCTAGTTTGGTTTCTGTTGCTGGGACAGAAACCATGACCAAGAGTGACTTGGGAGAGAAAAGGATTATTTTATCTTAAAGGTCCATCATCAAGGGAAGCTGAGGCAGGAACTGAAGAAAGGAATCTGGAGGCTGGAAGTGAAGAAGAGATCATGGAGAAACAGTCTTGTTTTCAGGCTCACATTCACTTACTTTTCTCATAAGACCCAGGTCCATTTGCCCAAGGATCATACCACCTGCATTTACTGGGTCCTTCTACATCAATTACCAATCCAGGAAGTGCCTAATATACATGTCCAGAGGCCAATCTGGTGGGGACAATTTCTCAATGGAGAGTTCCTCTTCTCAGGTGTGTCAAGTTGACAACTGAGACTACCCACCATACTTGTACAATCACGGGGACCTGAATTTTATCTCCAGTATCCACATAAGAAGTCAGGCATGTTGGTATGCACTTTTAATGGAAACCCTGGGGGAGGGGACAGAGACAGGCAGATTCCCTTGAGTTCCTGGTTAGACAACCTGTGTAGTTATATCTTGTTTATACTCTAACAAATAAAGCTTGCCTAAAGATCAGAAGGTGGAGCTAGCCAATAGCCAACCATAGAGGTCTGGTGGTCTGTACAGATAGACAGGAAGTGAGATGGCTGGGTGGAGAGAGGAATATAGGTGGGAGGAGACAGGAGCTCCCTCTCTTTTTGAACTGAGGATTTGGTAGAGGTTAGAGATTTAGTGACTGACTGCTCTGCTTCTCTGGTCTTTCAGCTTTCACCCCCTAATGTCTGACTCCAGGCTTTTATTATTAAAACCTATTAGAACTCATGTTATATTCCTGTCTTAAAAAACAAGGTGGACAGATCCTAAGGAATGGCACCTGAGGTTGACTTCTAGTCTCCACATGATCGAGTACATAGGTATGCTTGTGTCTGCATATCTATGTGCTTACACATACACACACACACACACACACACACACACACACACACACACGACTAAGTGCTCATGATTCAGTTATCTTGTCAGCATCTTTTTTTTTTTTTTTACAATGAACTTTACTTTGAACTTTACACTGAACTTTTCTTACTCTGTGGAGGTCAGAACTCTCCCTGTATGGGCAGAGTATTTCTGGGTCCACTGAGAACAGGAGCTGAGAGCATGAACCCCCAAGAGCACACTCTGGTACCACTCACAGCCAGCCTCTATGTGATGTACCAAACACTGCTCCAAGTGCTTTATGTGAATTAACCCATTTAGTTCGAACAGTTCTCAGAGTACATATTGTCATTCCCGCTTCACAGAGGCCTGAGGTTTGGGGAAACGAACTAATTTTCTCAATGATACACAACTAGTCAGTGACAAAAAGAACCAAAGCTTGTGTCTTCTGAATGCAGAACAACATTGTGAATATCACTTCATAGGCTCAGCCATGTGGTGTGCATTAGAAATCTTTTATTTGGGATGACACAATGACTCCATGGGTAAAAGCCTAATGACCCGAGTTCAATCCCTGGGACCCAGATGATGGAGGAAGAGAATCAACTCCCACAAGTTGTTCTTTGACCTCCATACACATGTGCCCATACACGTATGTAAACCATGCAATAAAATACACATTAAGAAGTTTTTTGTAGTGCTTAACTCAGAATCTATCAATCACTTTTGCTATTCTGGCCAGAAGTTTGGGGAAAATTATCTATTGATTATAAATATTAATTAAAATTTTTCCATCATAATGATAAAAAAGAAGTTTTTTTTGTAATTTTGCATGCAGAGAGCCCGAGGAATGTTTACACTATCAGAAGTAGTGAGAGGGTTTTCTCTGTGTTCCACACCAAAAGTACTACTCTGCCAGAGCTGTAAATGTTTAGCAGAAATGCCAGAGAGTGTTCTGAGCTTCACAATTCTGACTCTTCTGACTTCAAAGCTAGCGCCTCATGTCTTCCCTCAGAGATGATGATCATTTAACAAGTAACCTGTGATGGCGTTCCTAGAGGTATTCTGGCATAGTGTTTCAAACACAAACGTTCAGAATCTCACTCATTTATTCAAAAATAACCATTAGATTCTTGCTGTTTGCCAGACACAGTGGATGTGAGTGTGAGCCAGATGGAGGCAGCTCTTGTGTCTTTCTGGGTGGGGGAAGATAAAAGACAAGTAGGCCCTGAAGCTGTAATAGATGGATGGATGAGAAAAACCCTCCCCATTTGCCAAAGCACTGTGATGGTTGAAAATATGTGTGCAGTGGTTGGAGGTGTTTAAAATTCCTATTGTTATGAACTTGATGTAATTTTGAGGACTTGTTGTTGTTGTTGTTGTGTGTAGTAGGAAGACATGAACTCCATTATTACATTAACTTACCAAGTACATTGGCCACCAGATGATAACACTGAAGTTATGAATAATTCATAGAAGTTTTTTGTTCTTTACCAATGAGCATAATAAGGAAGTTTTATTTAAACAGTATCTAACAGAATATAAACAGGAGTGAAACAGACACAATTGGCTAGTTTAACTCTATGCCTCATATGGAGATCAAGACTCTGTTGTGGGCAGCAGATGTAAAACTTGAGTACTGGAAGGTGCTGCCACCATGCACCTTCTGTCACAGAGTATGTTGTCACACCAATGGAGAGTGCTGCCATGTCAGAGAACACATTAAAATCTCAGGAGAGCAATAGGATGGAGAGTGGTCCACTCTTGAGGTGAAGTTTCCCTTTGCTTGGAGAAGAGAGGATTTGGAGTGAGGGAACTTCAAACTTACTCTGTGTACTCACACAGGACTTGTATGATGAGTAGAACACACTTGGACTTGAGGCAGGAAGAGTTCTACAGCATTCTAGAGGTATTTATAAGTACAATAAGCCTTGTGGTGCAGTCCTGCTCCCTAGGAATGGGTATTGATTGCTGTGGTGGTTTTGACATCCAGTCCTGGTCTTTGTCCTTTTGAACTCTGTTTCTACAGTGTTGGCAAGGTTCAGTTATTCAGTTTGCTGTGACAGTGGTATTTATTAAACAGTCTTCAGTGGTGAGCATGGTAGAGATGCCCGTAATCCCAGCTCTCACTCAGGAGTCTGAGGCAAGAAGATCGAGTCTCCAGACAGATAGATAACAAGACCCTGTCTCCAGCAAGCAAGAAAACAAAATTCCAAATAATAATGTTTTGATTTGGATACCTTATTTTTTCTTAATCTCAAAGGCCAGCATGAAAAGGTTTCTTTTAATTATTTATTTTCTGGAAAATTACACAGAATGAATTACATCATAAATCTCATCCCTTTACCACTGTTTAAATAATCCTCACTGCTTGAGCTTCCTGTGGTCTGAATAATACATTAGTCACTGATAGAAGATGACAGCATCTTTTTACATTTTCAAGAGTCTCTTGCTAATATTCAAATATCTCTGAGAGGAGGACTCCCCACTTAAATTTGGATTTCTTTTAAAAGGCAAAATTAGTTTATTACTATCCCCTCCTTCCTCCAGTGTTAACTCCACTCTATTGATGTGGCTGCACCATGAGTAATTCTAAGGCTAGCGTGGAACACAGGATAGTTAGTGATGTCTGCATGGGGTGGCATCTAGTATCTTCATTCAAGGTATTGTCAGTGATCCATCAGGTCTCTTTCTAATTAACCCAGCAGGTTTAGAATAGTATCTCAAGGGAAGACTGCAGAGGATGCATGGAGGGATAGTTGCTAGCTAGCTTGGAATGGGGTTGCTGACGTATAACCCCAGTGAGGCTGGGGTACAAGACCACATTTCTGAGGACAGTCTGGGATACTTAGTAAGAAAAAAAAAAAACTTACAAAATCCAAAACTGAAGCCAATCAGACAATCAAATAAATAAAAAGGAGAGAATTAACATTAAGAATATTCAGAAGGCTCCCAAAAGAGTGGTGACAACTGCTCATCAGTAGCTTTCCATTGTTAACTAAGGCTTTCTTTCTTTTTTAATTATTTTTTT